GCCCCCTACAAAAGTCAGTTTACATTGCGCCTATGGGAGGGGGTCGAAGGTCAAGTTTGTCGTAGAGCCACAAAACTCGGTACACATGTTCCTCAAGTCAAGACATGAAAAAAAAGTTATTATGGCTCCGCCCCCTGACAAACAGGAAGCTCATTAATTTAATTGGAAAATGGAAAAATGAAAATTGATCTTTTTCACACATGTCGGCTGGAAATTATCTCCTCCTCGGCCGCTTCACCGATTTGTCTCAAAATCGCTCCACATGGTCTAAACCCATGTCCCATCTATTATTGAATATAGAATTTGGATCAGTTAAACGTTGTCCGAGCAGCGGAGCGGCAAAATGTGACATTTTTTTCCCAATTTTTGACAAAAGTAAATTTGCTCCCATTTGCACAAAAAAAGTCCGATTTGCACAAAATTTTAATCCATTGTTCAGCTCCAGGGTCTAGGTCATCTGAAAGTGGAAATATTGAAATTGGCTCATTAGCGCCCCCTACAGACTATGTCAAAGTTTTACATGGGCCTGAAAAAATTTAGTTTTTTCAAATTGTTGGAAATTTTGCACATAATTATGTTTTGTCATCTGGATTCAAAAAGTCAATGACATCATATGGTTATTTTTTACCCTGTTGCCGTGGCGACCACCAACACTCCCCTGTCTGTGTCTATGAGAAAATCGTTAAATCTCTGAAAAGTACACCTCGCGCAAACATCAAACCAGCCTCGGCCCTTTCACTAATTTGTCTGAAAATCGCTCCACATGGTCTCCACACATGGACCATCAATAGTTGCATATAGAGTTTTAATTAGTCAAACGGTCTGAGCGTGACAGACCCCCAAAGTGTGGTCATTTTCATAGAGAGGTGTGAAGGTCCCATGTTATCCAATGGAGACTGTGTGGACACACTCACAGATTGTATGAACAAACAGGAGCACATTTACAAACTCAGCACTAAACTTGACTCAACTCCTGGGCCTAGGTCACATGACAGTGTGAACAATGACATTGGCCCATTATCGCCCCCTAGAGGCTGAGTGAAGGTATACATGGGGATACAGGAATTTAGGTTATGTGTTGTTTGATCTCATATTTGACCCACTGAACAAACACGAAAACTCACCAAACTTTGCCACAAGTTTTTTTCAGGCATAAAGTATATTATTTTGGTGTTCTTTGGTATAACACTACAAAATTTAAAATGTAGGGGGCGCTATTTTACAACATGAATGCCACCATTTGCACATACAAAGTCCGATTTGCACAAAATTTGAAATGATTGTTCAGCTCTTGGGTTTGGGTAAACTGAAAGTGTAAATCATGAAATTGCCGCAATAGCGCCCCCTAGAGACTGAGTCAAGTGTTACATGGGGAAAATGAGGTATATCTTTTGAATAGAGAAACACAATCACTAATCATAGTAATTCAAAATGCACAGTGTCGCTCCCATCAGGGGGGCAAAAAATGGCGCGTCAGCGCCACCTCCTTTGCGCGGTGCGGCGAGGGCCGTTAGATGCCGCTTGCGGCTTTAATTTATTATTTCTTTTTTCTTCTGCACTTTGAACCTTAATTTGACCCCCTGAACATTGATGAAAAGTTGTGAAATTTTGCCCAAAATTCAGAACCGGCGAAAAATTTATTTTTTTGGTGTTTATTTTTATGGGACTAAAAAAATGTCAGAACAGCGCCCCCTACAAAAGTCAGTTTACATTGCGCCTATGGGAGGGGGTCGAAGGTCAAGTTTGTCGTAGAGCCACAAAATTCGGTACACATGTTCCTCAGGTCAAGACATGAAAAAAAAGTTATTATAGCTCCGCCCCCTGACAAACAGGAAGCTCATTAATTTAATTGGAAAATGGAAAAATGAAAATTGATCTTTTTCACACGTCGGCTGGAAATTATCTCCTCCTCGGCCGTTTCACCGATTTGTCTCAAAATCGCTCCACATGGTCTAAACCCATGTCCCATCTATTATTGAATATAGAATTTGGATCAATTAAACGTTGTCCGAGCAGCGGAGCGGCAAAATGTGACATTTTTTGGGGATTTTTGACAAAAGTAAATTTGCCCCCGTTTGCACAAACAAAGCCGGATTTGCACCAAATTTTAATCCATTGTTCAGCTCCAGGGTCTAGGTCATCTGAAAGTGGAAATATTGAAATTGGCTCATTAGCGCCCCCTACAGACTATGTTAAAGTTTTACATGGGCTTTTTAAAATTTAGTTTTGTCAAAATGTTTGAAATTTTGCACATAATTCTGTTTTGTCATCTGGATTCAAAAAGTCAATGACTACATATGTTTATTTTTTACCCTGTTGCCGTGGCGACCACCAACACTCCCCTGTCTGTGTTTATGGGAAAATCGTTAAATCTCTTAAAAGTACACCTCGCTCAAACATCAAACCAGCCGCGGCCGTTTCACTAATTTGTCTGAAGATCGCTCCACATCTTCTCAACACATGGACCATCAATAGTTGCATATAGAGTTTTAATTAGTCAAACGGTCTGAGCGTGACAGACCCCCAAAGTGTGGTTATTTTCATAGAGAGGTGTGAAGTTCTCATGTTATCCAATGGAGACTGTATAGACACACTCAAAGATTGTATGTGCAAACAGGAGCACATTCACAAACTCTGATTTGCACTAAACTTGACTCGGTTGTTCAACTCCTGGGCCTAGGTCACATGACATTGTGAACAATGACATTGGCCCATTAGCGCCCCCTACAGGCTGAGTAAAGGTTTACATGGGGATACAGGTATTTAGGTTTTATGTTGTTTGATCTCAAATTTGACCCACATAACAAACACAAAAACTCACCAAACTTTGCCACAAGCTGTTTTCAGGCATAAGGTGTATTAGTTTCGTGTTCTTTGGTATAACACTAAAAAAAATAAATTGTAGGGGGCGCTGTTGTACAACATTAAATGCCACCATTTGCACATACAAAGTCCGATTTGCACAAAATTGGAATTGATTGTTCAATTCTCGGGTTTGGGTAAACTGAAAGTGTTAAAGACGAAATTGCAGCAATAGCGCCCCCTACAGACTGAGTCAAGTATTACATGGGGAGAATCAAGTTTACCTTTTCAATAGACACACACAATCACTAATCATAGGTTCAAAACACACAGTGTCGCTCCCATCAGGGGGGTAGGAAAATGGCGCGTTAGCGCCACCTCCTTTGCGCGGTGCGGCGAGGGCCGTTAGATGCCGCTTGCGGCTTTAATTATTATTATTTTTCCGTAAAAACAAAATATTTGTTATTAGTGCTCCTACATCTAAAAAAATACATTGCTTTCTTCAAGGAGTGAATGTTAAATGGTTAAAGAACTAAGAGGTACAAACATTTTTGCTTCATACATTTATTTTGTTGCCTCTTGAAATAAGATTGACACATTATACAGTTTAGCGTGGACGAAGGCATGTATGACCGTAATAACCACCACAAACCTTTTAACTCCAGACTAAATGCAAAATGACCCTTTTTTAAATCATTCCCACAATTTTGTTTTAGTAGTTTATATAAACGTGTGCGTCTCTCCCGCCCTCATCCGCTTGCACAGGATGTCTGCTCCATGCGCGGGGTAACAGATGGGGTTTGGGCCTGTCCTGTTCCTGGTCCGTGTGTCCTGTGTGTCATCTGTCATTACATTCAGGTCACTGTCGGGGCTCTCCTGCAGCGTGACGGACCGGGCCGAGGCTTGACAACTGTCTGGGCTGTTGCTGAGAATATGCACTCCTGTTATTCATCCGACAAACTAGGACTCGAGATGTTATGTGGAAGTAATAAATATGTTGGTCTGCCATGGACCTTTTTTAATATTTCATAGAATAATCACAACATCTTATCAAAACACTCATAGAAATCCAGTTCCAGGACGTTCAAATTGATAAAATGGCTACAGAAATCATGTATTTCTGTCATTATACTGTATACACACATCATAATATACAATTTGTCGTTACATTTGATCTTGCACTTGTATTGAAACTGTTTTTGTTGATCGATTTTACACTGACAATTTTTGAAATCTTGTTTTAGTAGTTTCTCTGGTGTTTATTGTAGTAGTAGTTTCTATGATCATTCAAAGTGGATCATGTTTAAAGTTAGGGATGTTTCACCTTTGCAGATGTTTCTATTTTAGAAGACAAATAATCCGGATTTCTTTTCTGTTTCAGATTTGACCAAACATAAATGTTTTTCAAAGACATTTGTAAAGTTTGTGCTTACATGTAAATATTGTTTATGTTGTGTGTTATTCCATTATAAACACAAATACAGTATACAATCTGTCGTGTGGATGTACCTGAACATATGAACAGGTCAGAGGTGGTGCTTGTTTCTGGCCCTCACTGAGAGTGTCTGTGCTGGTGCATTATGGGATAGTGAGTTATTGATGCTGGAGAGTTTAGACTTTTCACACACGTCTCTCTGGCCTTGCTCCAGACCTCGGGGTCAGGGGCACCATACAAAAGTACTTCATTATATATGCATGCATAAATCTAACTGTAAAACAGGCCGAGGCTTTGTTATATCAACCATACATTTGGTATTAATATGGACTATAAATTATCAATCCACTTGACTTATGACTTTCTATGCTTTGAACATTCTATTAAAATATTTAGAATTTATCCTGTCCTTTGATTCTGTCCTTTTATAACACAACTGGGTTTATTTTGTCTTTTCACATCACAAAGTACAAGTAAATGTTTGTAGAATTATCGTTTTCAAGAACATTTGGTGGTGTTTTTAGACCCCTGGCTACGATCATGGCAGAACCAGCTTTCTTAAAGCATCTTCCCACGCTTGTGCTTCCTCCAATGGTTGGAGTTACTGTCTTTGTGTGAGCGGTGCAGCTCCTCCTTTCACTTCTGGTTAGGGGCTAACACCTCTTTCAGGTTAAGTCATTTTTTTCACCTCAAAAGAAAGCGAATCGCTGCGTTTTGTGTCGGCCCTCCCTCTTTTTCCTTGCTTTTCCCCACTCATCTGTCAATGAAAGACACAGTTTTGCCACAAGGCATTGTGTGTTTAGCGGTGGTGCCAGCAACTGCCAGAGAGGCACCGGGATCCACCCCCTTTGAACTGCTGCCAAGCCAGCCAGCTTGCACCTTCTTTAATAACTTCCCCTCAAGGTACTTCCTTCTTTCTCTCCACAGCTCTCCCTCCTCTGTTCTTCTCCGTGTCCCTCGTTCACTCTGACTATAAAAAAATGAAAATGACTTCAGCTTTTACAGTGAAATGTGTAATGCTGAAAGGAAAAGTGAGACTGCTTAACTGACAGCCTGATGTCAACTCTCAGTGGAGAGCCCTCCCACTGTTCACTCTGAATTCAAACAGGCATTTCCTCACTGTTAAAAATAAAATAAAGACGAATTGACATTTGGTTTTCTGTGAAACAGACTTATTCACAACAACAGCTCCACATGTGTTTTTAAACAAACTCATATAATCAATATTTTACTAATTGCCAGTTTTAAGTGACTACATACTGAAATGTTTCCCTCATGGTCACAATCCTTTTTTTTTTATGCACATGTTCTTAAATGTTGATGTAGAATAAATACTCACACGTCTCCATGGATACCCCTGACTGACTCCCCCTCTGTCTCTTTCAGACCAGCCTTTGTGGGCCTCTCTGGAACCACATTTGGAGGAAGTCCGCATCTGTCAGTTCCACTGTACACCACCATGGCCCCGGGACAGACAGGCTGAATGGAGAGGTAAGGAGAGGAAGCCTGGGCTAAACCTGGCTAAAACGGGCAATAGGTGTCATAGTAGGCCTGTGTAATGCAGAGTGTCACCGCAGCACGGCCCATTACGACCATCACCGCACACACCGTAGCGTTTATGTTGTCACTAGGGATTATTGAGAACAAACAGACTGTAGAATGTGCGCTGTTTGTCAAGTATGTATTATTTGTGTACTGAGTATCCTGATTTATGTAATGCTCTCCCTAAATCCATCTCCTATGCTGTGTACCTGGCTCAGCAGTGTATTAAAGGATGCAGCGTTGGGACGAAAATGAGAATGTAAATAGGAGCGTAATAGCCCTCCCTCCCTCCCTCTCCTTCCTCACCTTTTTTCCTTAGCTCGTACCTCTCCTGGTAGGGTGTGCGAGGCAGGGCGAGCTGGCGAGGGGGTGACCTTGCCCAGTGTAATTAAAGTGAAACACCTTGACTTGTCACCATTGCCTGAGACAGCTTAAATCTCCCTAATGTAAATGGAGGCTGCGGCTGACGTGCTGCAAGGCATGGCCGCGGAGAAGATACAAGCGCTGGTGATCCATCTCTGTACCTCTGCGCACACACATACGCACACACATACGCACAAACACATACGCACACACACATACGCACACACACACGGACTGGTCTGCTCTCAAGCTACTCTCTCTCCTCTGTTTTTCATCAGCACGGCCATTGTTTTCTGTTTAACATTGTGCCCAGCTAACCCCCAAACATGGATTACCTTTTATAACACTTGTTAATTGGTGTGTGTGTATGTGTGTGTGTGTGCGTGTGCGTGTGCGTGTGCGTGTGTGTGTGTGTGTGTGTGTGTGTGTGTGTGTGTGTCCCGTTTTAACATAATCTGAGCAATGCGCTTTACAATATGTATTTCCTCTATTCTGAATCTATGCTTTATTAATATAGACAGACATTTGTTGTGGATTGTATCACACTTCATTGTGTTAAATGTAAATCAACATGGACACATCGTGCCATGTCAAAGACCAGAAAAGGTTCCAGTCTCTTTTAAAGGTTCACTGTAGTGTTTCTGGTGGTTGGTCCGTCTAAGTGTTGTTTTGTGGGTAATGCAATGTTCCTTCTACATTGAAGACAAGAAATAAGATACAAAATTGGTGTAACAAAACATGAATGTCTTTTTAGGGAATTAGGGAGATTTTACCAGAAGTCCCACCTCTTGTTTTCCACAAGACCACTGTATTTTTCATTTGATTCTCTCCTGTCTTTAACCTTGTGTTTTTCCGGTTCTCTACTGTCTTCACGTTTCCTCAGCGACCCTCTCCGAGCATTTGCTCTCTTCTATTGTTGCGGAAAGAACCAGTGTTAGCTGCTAACCGGCTACATAAACAGACTTACCTGGTCCCACAGTTGGCTTGGTAACAAGAAATAACTTTCGTGATGCACCTTTAATTGAATAATATTCAGTGTTTTGTCCTCTGCTTTCCGCTGCTGCTCCTGGCTGTATACTGTATATGGTCAGGCTTTAGAAAGTGACTGAGTTGCTTCTGTGTCTCCTGGGATCACATCGTGCCTCCGGTCCCTGTGTAGGCCAGGGTGCAGGAAATCACAAAGAGGGCAATTAGTAGTGAAATTCTGTTGACTTTGTCCCTCAATTAAAACTGTGTAATACAAAAGTCTTGTTGACCCTTCTGTCCTGGCCTCCATCACCGACATAACTGAAACACAGCCCACTGAATTCCAGACTCATTTGCAGTTTGGGGAATCAGGGACCGGCTGAAATGACAACAGAAGCAGAGGCGGAGGTTTGTGCCAAAATGTGCCATCTGAATGCCACAGTGGCATGTGAAAGAATGCTGCGTGGCTCCTGTGCCAGTTTCAGTGGCTGCCAGAGCGGCCTGTGCCAGGGAGCACCCCCATGTGGCTCCTGTGAGCTGTGGGCACTGACACGGGGGCCAGACACACATCATGTGTCTGCAGCAGGCAGCCTGCCCTTTTGCCCCTGTCCCTGGGGCAGCTTACACTGTTCTGTCCATTCCACTGCCCAAAAACCTGCCAAACACTGAGGGCAGTGCCAGGCCCTGGCCCCACACACAAGGACTTGTAGTGGGACCGCACTGTGAGCGTTTGGAACGGCTCTGTGAGCTCGCTGCTGTCTCTGCACAAATCATTATGTCACAAGTTTGAACTTCGTTTGACAACCTCAGGATAATGTTTTATTTAGACTAATGTATATTTATCTAATTTATATATCAAGGAGTTATTTTGGGTGATTTTGCATGGTAAAACACACACACATTGCTTTGACACAAAAATAGAATTCATGTTTTTCAGAGACAGACAGTTTATCCGACTGTGTCTGGGAGCATCACAGACAAATACAGGTTCAGACAGCGAGGTAACCGAGAGAGACAACAAACAAGCATGAAGCTATTGTGATGGACAGCTTCCACTGTGAGGTTCAGTGTGTCAATGTGTTGAGCATGTGATGTAGCAACTGCTCGAGCTGAGGGGGGCCGCCAGGAAAAAAAGAGGAAAACATTGAAAAAGAGAGAGAATGGCCAATGAGCTCAGGTGGGCCCGGCATCTGCATTCACTTCCTGCCTTTTTGTGGAGACATGAGGAGGAGGAGGCAGAGCTGAGAGGAAGAGGGGGTAAGTAGTTCCTTGTACAGAACAAGTGGGAGATGAAGCCTTTTCTGGAAGCTACAAAGGAGCTGTTCTCTGGAATAGGGCCACGCAGCACTCAATGGGACTGAAGAACACGCACACAAAACTCACGGAGGAAGAAGGCATGCTCCACAATGGATCTGGGCCCCATGCTCGGTTCAAAGGGCCAGGCTGGAACACTGGGAGAGGAAGAGGGCATCAAATAGAATGGGAGAGCTGGGCCTGCTGGGAAGTATACAGAGGAGCAATAGGGGGCTGGATGGTAGATATGCCGGGGTAAAGGCCACCAAGTTTTCATTCATTTGAAAACAAACAGTGTAGAACAGGCAGATTCAGAGTCCACTGTGCGGCGTGGAGTAGTTTTGTTGTGCGTCTCAAATGAAAGGTACACAAAGCTCTGTGTGTGGCCCCAGTGGTAAAAGTCAGTGAGAAAAGGTGGGAGAGAAGTGCATAAGGAAGGGAGTAAACTGAAAGCTTGAAAGTCCAATGTCCAATGCCTCTATTGTTATGTCATGTCATCGTGAAAAGACCCAAAACTGTCATCATTAAAAAGCAAAATCTGTCATCATTAGAGGGCCTTAATCTGTCATCATTAAAGGGCCCTAATCTGTCATCATTAAAGGGCCCTAATCTGTCATCATTAAAGGGTTCTAATCTGTCATCCTTAAAGGGCCCTAATCTGTCATCATTAAAGAGCCCTAATCTGTCATCCTTGAAGGGCCCTAATCTGTCATCATTAAAGAGCCCTAATCTGTCATCATTAAAGGGCCAAAATCTGTCATCATTAAAGGGCCATAATTTGTTATCATTAAAGGGTTCTAATCTGTCATCATTAAAGGGCCATAATCTGTCATCATTAAAGGGCCATAATCTGTCATCATTAAAGGGCCCTAATCTGTCATCATTAAAGGGCCCTAATCCGTCATCATCAAATAGCCCTAATCTGTCATCATTAAAGGGCCCTAATCTGTCATCCTTAAAGGGCACTAATCTGTCATCATTAAAGGGCCCTAATCTGTCATCATTATAGGGCCATAATCTGTCATAATAATAAAACCTGCTCTTTTCCAATACTTCTTTAACTGATAACAGTAGTTCAGAGATATTTGAATTTCTAAATTACTTTTTCAGCCCCTAAATCTTGTTATTGTTTTCATTTCGATGTCCCGCCCTCCACCGTTTCACCAATCAGAAAGTCCGTAAAGTACCATGTGGCGCAGAACTAAAAAAGGTCTCGTTATGATTCTCAAATCATTAACGACAAAACAAGGATTAAACCAGGATTTCTATCTTTGTGAAAAAGGTGTTGGTTATAGATTTGTTGTTGACTAAACTCTTGCATATCTGGCAACCTGAGTCAGGGAGAGTGGGAGAAGCTGCAGTACCACTTTTGGCCACATTTTTACATCAGTATTAGTATTTATTCATTTATTTTGCTCATTACAACAATATATATATAAAAAAAGAACAATTCTAAAACAATAAGAATAATCTACAGTTCAATCCATTTTTTAAGATTTTTTTTTTGCCTAAATATATGATACAAAGATAATACTAAGCTCTGAATACTGTGGCACGGAAAGGAACCCAAACCAGTCGACTCCAATAAAACTTTACCGACTCCTAATTCCCTCACGGCTCCTGACACCTGTATTTCCCGAGCTTTTGCACCGCTCCTCGGATCATCTTTAACTTCACCGACGTCTTATTGCCTGTCACTCTTTCTAATTTGATCCGGCGCAGGACAGTTACCGTTTTGGGCAGTGGAAGTGCGGCACATATTGGTCTGAAGACTGGCAGCTAATAAAACCCAGCTTGGTATTTACTCCCCCTTTTTTCCGTCTATTTAGAATCTATCTCAATATTGTTATTATGAATATATATGCATTTACAGCCCACCCAGTATCTCTCCGGGTGGGCTCGCGGTTAATAATATGTTATTGATTTCCATACCGGACTGCTTATATATCCGTTTTAATTTCAAGGCCATATCGTGCCCACTGTGAACCCTTGCTTTATTTCTTTTCCTCTTCTCCTACAGCCGTTATTAAGCCTGTCACTGCGCTAACATTTTTAGTCCGTCCTGTTACCGTATATGAGGTGTAGGGACGCTCATTACTGCTGCTATCTTCCCCCAGTCAGCATTCATCTCCTGTTTGACAGCTCTGATCAATGGGACAATAGGCCTGTTTTAGATTTCCACTATGACAAATTACACACTGAGCGGACGACGACTTCACAATCAAGAGCAACGTATTTTTACAGTTTAAACAAATACAGGCTGGTTCTCAGAGAGCACATTTTGATCACGTTTGGGTCTAAAAGAGGCCGTCTACTGCACTTGTATTTAGGGATGGGAACATCAGGGTACCTCATGATGCGATACAATAATAATAATGCATCAAACTTATATAGCGCTTTTTTGGACACTCAAAGACGCTTTACAAAATACGTAGAAATAAACATTGAAAAACAAAATTAAGGAAAGGCAAGATGAAACGGGTGGGTTTTTAGGAGAGATTTAAAGTTCTGTTGAGTTTTTGACGGGTTGAGGGAGTGAGTTCCAGAGAGTGGGGGCAGCTGCAGCGAAAGTTCACGATAACGATTTTCTCACAATGTGACGATGCAGCGATTATCAGTATAATGATCAAACATATACCTATGATAATATTTTTTTAATATTAATGGCGTGAAAAAATTAAGTGAAAAAATACACTTTATATCACGATAAAGGGATAAAGTGTCATGTGTACCATTAAAGTGAACAAGCAAAAAATGCCTTTAACTGCACATTTTAGCAATAGTCTTAATCTTAATCTATTTTACATCCAATACAATCAATATGAACATTCTATAGAAATTGAAAAATGCGTAATTTAGCCATATATCAAGTATCGATACTTTTTTTTTTTTTTTCAAATACAGCTTAAAAAGAACAATTTGAATTGAGAAAGTATCACAACACATCACCATATCGATATATTGTCAAACTCCTTGTATTTAGTAAACTGCAGAAATGATGTAGATTTTAATTTATGCATGCCTGTGATTTTATTCTGCTTTAACTTGTTTGCACTGAGAGCCAAAGCAATTTCCGAGTTTGTGACTTCCTGTTACTCACATGGCTAAAAGGGTTCTGATTCTGGTCACAACAGTCTGTAAATATGCGCTATATAGATAAAGAGGACGCACTTACTACACAGATTTTATTACAGACTGCTTTATTTTGCGTTTTGGAAGTTACATACCCCTGCTTTAAGGATGTGATCTTGGACATCAAGTTTGTTTATGATCTGGTTTCAGGACTCTTTGATCCATGCACAGAAAATGGGTTGTTACATTTTGAACAAATACAGACAGGTTTTCAGAGATCACATTCTGATCACGTGTTTGGTCTAAAAGAGACTGTAGAAATTGAAATAAAAATGTTGATTTTTATTAATGCATGCCTGGGATTTTATTCTGCTTTAACTTGTTTCGGTTCACATGGCACTAACTTGTCACAGATGTACTTTTGTTCGAGGCCGTGGAGAGACTTGTAACAATCAGAGTTGCTTTAAAGTTTATTTTCCAAAGATCTGAGAAATAGACTAATGTGGTCGTACTTCCTGGTTCTTGTCAAAACCAGGAAGTACTCTGGTTAGTTCAAACTAGAGGTTTTCATTGTACTTAAACTTTAGTCGTTTTACTTGACATTTGTTTCTGTTTTCCAAAAGGCTCATAGTAAAGGGAATATTGCACAGTGTTGCTTTTAACAACATTTTGAACTTTAAACGTTCTAAAAGTTATAGTCATAATAAGAGCTAAAACCCAACATGCCAAAGGTGCAAATACTGACATTTGTATCTTGATTTCTAAACATACCAAAGCAAACAAATGAGTCAGGATTCACTACATTCACCAGTAGTCGTAGTCAACAACCTCTGATGCAAAACTGTTGTCACTTATTCCTAGTAACGTCTAAGAAACGTACTGACTTTCCACAAACACAATCAGCTGCAGACTTGGGCTACTCTCTTCTCGGTTCAGAGACGCCCTCATCGTCTCATACTGTAGAGTTTTGATCCAGCCCCCGGGGGACGGGCACCGGGCAGCCCCTCTCGGCCCTGTGCTTGCACCTCCATAAGAATCGCACAAGGAGGAAGAAGAGGAAGGGCTCGGCGAGAAGCAGGAATAAGCAGTCCGTGTATATATTCGAAAATATCTGCGGCATCAGCACAAAAGGCTCTGAGTCAGCCGTTTGCCGGGCCTCGCCGCATGCTAAAACACATAGAGGCAAAGCCCATTAAAAATGAATGCCATGCGATAATCACATTCACACTTAAAATTTAATGTCGGAACGTGGCGGCTGACAAAGAGGAGCCGTGTGGGCCACTGCCATTATGACCGGGACCAATGCGCCTGTGGTACCTGCACCGTTCATTTCTCTAGGGAAGCTTTGGATTGTCCATGTATAAAAATTAGCTTATTTACTTGATACAATATTCATCAAAAAGTGTTCAAATTGATAGATCTGATTTTAGAAATAATAAAAAAAACTATATACTACCTTTTAATTTTCTTCAATTTATCTGACAAATTTTGTATTGATTTTAAGTCTGGGTCTGAGTTTTTTAAAGTAAACAATTGCTTCCACTTTTATATTGCTTTTGAAATATACATTTGATTCTTTTTTTATTAGTCATCGTCTGAAGCCCCTGGTGCCCCGCTCTAAACGGATAAGAGTCACTTTCAGACAATACTTCTAAATAACTCACACACTGGTTTCTTGTATATATTCAGATAAGTTAGACTTTCTCACAATGGAGAAATTATTATTAGATAGAATCACAAAAGACAGAAGTGTGAAACATGTTAAAGGTTAAAATTATAGTCTGCAGGATATAATTATGTACAATAAAGTAGTATTAGCAGATGGTTCTTCAGTCCTACTGCAGGTCATTAGTGACTTGAAGTGACTTATTGTACAGTCTGACAGTGCTGAGGATAAAGGCCCTGAGGTTGAAGTGTGATTTAATTTAATGCAAGTTTAATTGTAATTTTAGTAATTTTTCAGTAATATTAAATAATTATGAATGTAATATAATCAATATTTTGTATTTTATGGGAGAAAACCTGGACATTAACATAATCTTGTCACACACTTAGGCCCTGTTTATACGAAGGCGCTGCGTAGATGTTTCAAAGCTATTAACAGAAACGACCAGGCTCCTTATTAAAATGTCACAGCGTTCATACGAGGATCAAAAACAATGTAGTTCTAGCGCACAGACTTTAGTGGGCAGAGGAACTTTACAACACGACACACGTGAGCCCCAGCTTCAGCAGTGTACTCACTTCCTCTGCAAGACGGGGAAGATGCACCAACATTCTTCTGCATTTAACAGCAGCTGCGGAAATGGAAACTGAATCTACAGCTTCGCATGGTCTTATTTGGACGAACGAAGAAGTAGAATCATCCTCCGTGCAGCGCTCGAAGCACACATAGATAGTTAGTGCTAACCCTAACCCGCCGCCATTGTTGTTTACGTTTGTTCTCAGCTCCTGCGCATGTCCAAATGTACGTGCGGAAAGCAGTGGGAGTTGGGGGTCAGATCAGGCAGGGAATTCACACCTATTTCTTGAAGCGGTTGTGAAAGAGCGCCCCCTGCTGAGCAGTGTATCTGAGCTGTCCCACTCTGCAGTCTGGATCTGAACTCCTACGTTTTCACCTGGAACACCGTCTCCGTATGAACGGGGGGTAGCAACCGACATCCAACTATAGCGTTTTACTGCTGCAGTGTGTCCGTATAAACAGGCTCACAGAAGAGTTCTTAAACAAGTTTATTTGTATAGCACAATTCATACACAAGGCAGCTCAAAGGGCTTGTGCTATGAGCCCCCTGACCCAGAAATGGATTAAAGGGTAGAAAATGGATGGATGGATGGATGGGCAGCTCAAAGTCAACATAATGCCTGTTTCAGCTGCCTGGTACTTTCCCATTTGTAAAAAAATAAAATAAAAGTTGTATATCGATTGTTTTTCTGTCTTAAAAGGCTGTGAAGTAACTATGAATATTGTACAATTCCTACCAGTCCAAACACAATCTCAATCTTGGCACTGGACGGACCCAAATGCTTCCAAGTGCTCAGGATCTAGGGCTCTTATTTTGAGGGATGCCTTAGAGACGGTGGAGTGGGTGGGTGGCGATGGGACAGACTGGGGAGAGCAAGGGGGGAGGCTATTCTCTAATTCCAACTCAAGTGGCCTGAAGATGCCTGAGAAGTGCACTCCTTTTTAAAAACCACAAATTAATGTTCTTCTTGGCCAAACATAATATTGTCAGAGTGGCACAAAGGGACCCTCTAAGCAGCGCTGTCTTGTGCTTCCTCCATTCTCTGGGCTCACTGTGTCTATGGTTGTTCCAAGGCCCACTTAACCTAGAATCCTCGGGACCCATACACCGTCTAGGACCCTCCTCCAAGGTCAGCCGGGACTTTTTCATACGCTCTCCAGTCAATTTTCAGTCCTCATTCAAGCGAAGGATATCTCTGTTAACCTCTTCTCTTACCTCTCCATGGCCCTTCAATTACAAAAAACAGGTTGTGTCCGGGCAGTGGCGTAGGGCCCTGAAAGAGAGAAGGTAAAAAAGGAGAGGAGTGTGTTTTGAAAAGGAGAGAGCGAACACTTTGCTGGTGGTGGACGACCGCTGAAGGCTTCGCACAAACTATTCATCTGCTAGAAATACAGGTCACTTTTATGCTTCTTGGAAACTTTGCTCAGAGTCGTAAAAAGTATCGCTTCTTATTTTATTTAATTTGGGTCGCCACAGATCACTTTTTTGCAAACAAATTTATTGAAATCATATATATGTAAAGGTGAAAATTATGCAAAAACTGCTATTTTTAAGACAACTAGACCAATAAAATAAATAGACAAGTGTCAAACGCAGAGGAAGGCAGAGCCACCTATGTAAGTTTTTTTCTGCTCTATGTAGGTCACAATATGTGGAGCAATTCCAACAGATGGGCTGCAGAAGAGTCCCCGGGCGAACACAAGTTAGTTATCCGTCTTTCTCTTACTGCTCCTCGGCAGCAGTAACGGCCTCCATCATGGACACTTTATTGTGGGCTAATTTCACTGTCTTAAACACACGCACACACACACACACATGCACGCACATAAACGGACATACACACACATACCCGCACACAGATACGCATGCAGGCACACATACACATACATACTCACACACACACACACACACACACACACACACACAAACGTACGCACACACATGCACGCAAAATACACGTACCCACATTCAGATTCAGATTCAGTTTATTTGCCATTTGCAGTAAAAACACCACATAGGAATACATTAGCAAAAGTCACCAGTGTGCACAGACAAATACAGACATAAAACAACATTAAAAGACAAAAATAAAACAAATAAAACAGTAAACAAATGTCACTGTTAAATCGATCGACTAAAACAGTTTCAAAACAAGTGCAAATCATTAAAGTGCTCTGTTCACACTGATAACAGCCTGTGGATAAAAACTGTTAGCGTAACGAGATGTCCTGCATCTCAGAGAGCGATATCTTCTGCCAGAGGGAAGAAGCTGGAACATGGCTTTCCCAGGGTGGCCAGAAGAGTCATTGACAATCCTAAGAGCTTTGCTTAAAAGTCTGGATTTATAAAGAACCTCCAGAACAGGAAGCTCACAGCCCACGGTCCTCTCTCTGGTCTCTCTCTGGTCTCTCCGGTCTCAGGTCTCTCTCTGGTCTCTCTCTGGTCTCTCCGGTCTCAGGTCTCTCTCTGGTCTCTCTCTGGTCTCTCTCTGGTCTCTCCTCTGGTCTCTCTCTGGTCTCTCTCTGGTCTCTCTCTGGTCTCTCCTCTGGTCTCTCCTCTGGTCTCTCTCTGGTCTCTCCTCTGGTCTCTCTCTGGTCTCTCTCTGGTCTCTCCGGTCTCAGGTCTCTCTCTGGTCTCTCTCTGGTCTCTCTCTGGTCTATCTCTCTGGTCTCTCTCTGGTCTCTCTCTGGTCTCTCTCTGGTCTCTCCTCTGGTCTCTCTCTGGTCTCTCTCTGGTCTCTCTCTGGTCTCTCTCTGGTCTATCTCTGGTCTCTCTCTGGTCTATCTCTGGTCTATCTCTGGTCTATCTCTGGTCTCTCTCTGGTCTCACAGCCCACGGTCCTCTTTGCAGAGAGGAGCACCTTGTTTAAAGCTATCTCTTCTTTATCTGTGATGTTTCCAAACCACACAGACACAGAACCAACAAGTAAACTCTCAATGGTGCAGCGATACAAGTTAAGCAGAATGCACATGCACGCACATAAATGCACATACTTGCACACACATATGCATGCAGGCACATAAACATACACACACACACACTGTTCCAATAAAAAACTTAAATCCCAATTAAAAAGGAAGAAATAGCAGTGAGAAAATGTCCCCAAACAGCAGCAGTTTGAGAAACACTGAGGCCTCTTCTGTACAAAAGAAAAGTATGTACACAAGCCGTACGTGTTAAAGGTGGTGTTTTTGTCAAGCACTTATAAAAGAGTTAAGTACAATGCACATGCACGCACATAAATGCACATACTTGCACACACATATGCATGCAGGCACATACACATACACACACACACACTGTTCCAATAAAAAACTTAAATCCCAATTAAAAAGGAAGAAATAGCAGTGAGAAAATGTCCCCAAACAGCAGCAGTTTGAGAAACACTGAGGCCTCTTCTGTACAAAAGAAAAGTATGTACACAAGCCGTACGTGTTAAAGGTGGTGTTTTTGTCAAGCACTTATAAAAGAGTTAAGTACAATATTGAACTGACTTTGACTCAATAAATAAAATCCAAATAAGGGATCAGTAAATCACAATACGTCTGCTTTAGGGCTGTCATTATGTTTGAGAACCAATTATTCTTTTTTTTTATCAATCAATTAGAAGTTTGGATCCTGAAAAGATGTATTTATACTTTAGACCAAAATGTCCAACCTTCTTTCAAACTCTGCACAACTGTTTCTTTCTCCTCTTGTAGCTCC